ACCAAGATCAGATAAGGACCACAAAGGAATGTGGAAGGAAAAGGGGGGGGGGGTTGTTAAACATAGAAAGAAGACTCTCTGAAAGTTAGGACACACTGGTTACACTATTTAATTTTCCAGATTCTTCTGGTATAACCATGAGAACATATATGCAGTGGTAGCTATACCTATTTATTTATTCAACTTTATATAAGTGTTCAAGTGTAAAGGGGTAAAATAGGTGATACTCCGTGAACATGGTTATAAGGGTAACACACAAAACACTAAGATTGTCTAAGGACACATACAAACATAACCTATCTGTATATTGAGACTAGTAGTCGTGAGTAAATCAATATACAGGGTATACAAAAGCCGACTTAGAAGAAACGTTCTTTAGGGTGTTGGTCTGTTGGGTGAGTGGTATGTAAGGCAGGATGTCTGGGGAGGGGGTTGTGTGCCAAGTCGAGGGACCCCTGTCCTTGAGGTCCACTGCTGTCTGTAGGTCCCTAAATCTTTGGGCAATAAAATTTGGAGTGCTGGCCTCCCTAGTTATCTGTGTGTGTGTGTGTGTGTGTGTGTGTTTAAGTGTGTTTATGTGTCTGGGGTCACTGACCCCCCTTTGCTGCCTAGGCCAATGTCTACCTCTCGCACCAGGCTAGGCCCTGGTCTCAGGCCACCTGGAATTTAAGCTCTGTGATATGTGCATGTGTGATCCTACATAAAATACCATAAATTGGTATCTGCTGCATGGGCACCTTCCTGTGTCACATCAGCCGCCTGTCAGCTATGAGAGATGAATCACTCCTGTAATCAGCTCTCTCTGTACTGTACAGATCTGTGTGGACCACAGTGTTTAAAATGTTCATGTGCTAAGGTCTCTCAAACAGAATTCCTGAAAATACCGCTGCATCCTGAATTTTTTCCAATTAACTTTTAACTCCTTAATTTCTACAATTTAAACATAAAACAAGCCATGCATTAGCTAGGCTGGAACGAGAACTAACACAGCCTGCCAGGCCTGCATTAGCTGCTGGGGATGTTCACATCTCCTCCTTTCAGAGTTACTGTCACGTTCGCGGGGCAGGCGAGCCGGAAAGCAGGCGAATCGAGCCGTACTTACAGGTAAATGGGGTTTTATTGACCAAAGGACAGACAGGTAGGGACATCCACGGACACTACAATGACGGATCTGACGAGACGTACTCAGACGTGGACTAAATACACAAGACTAGCCAAAAATAACAGGACAGAGGTGATCACAATCAGGAATTGACACAAGGTAATGAGGGGGCGTGGCACACACGAGGATCGTACGGAGCTGGGCGTGACAGATACTAGTCAGTTTGGGGCCATCTGGCAGAAAGATGACTGACAGCTGCAGTAGAAGCAATTTTATTGCTCTGAATATGTCATGGGAGGAGTTGCATATCATTTTTGAATTGCTTATTAAAATTAAAAATCTGCACTTATTTTAATGTCACTTTCCGTTTATGTTTAGAAAGGGCACAAGGCTGGGCCCGGCTCCTTGGTCACTGGTTGTGCAGGCGGGAGGCGGCAGTCCTTTCTGTGTGGTCATCCTCCAGGCCGTCTGTCTTCAGAGAGAGAGACGACAAACAGCCTGCTCACCAGTCAGCCTCTCCCTCTCCTGCCCATGATGCAGGCTTTGAGCCATACTGGGGGAGGCGATACTGACCCCTCTCTTGAGCTATTATCATGCAGTGGGTCACTGTCACTGGATAGTTTAATTTTGAACTGAGATGATCATTTATGTCTGTTACTACACAGTCAGTGGGGCTAAAAGATGAGCTTCAGTGAACTGTGTGTAGCGGTCACAAGAACAGAGTCACACAGGCAAACCTGGGTGCAGAATATTACCCCCAAATGGCAGCTTTTTATCAGGAACAGGAAGGACAGGGATTGAGGAAAAGGGGGAGGTGGTGATGGGCTGTTTGTCTGGTGGGTCCAGGCCAGTCGCTGGTCGCTTTGGGCACATCAGCACTGGCATTCTGGAGAATCGTTGCCACCTGTAAAAAAATTATGATTTCCTTTCTATAGGCTGTCAGGCTGCAGAGTCAGAGAGGGAGGCTGTACTTCCCTGGCTTCAGTTCTGAGGTCAAACCCCTCACATCTGAGAGAGCTGGACCTGAGCTACAATCATCCAGGAGACTCAGGAGTGAAGCTGCTCTCTGCTGTACTGGAGGATCCCAGCTGTAAACTGGAGAAGCTGAAGTGAGTAGAAAGTGTGTCTGACACGCTAAAGATGTATGTGAAGAGGCACCAATAAATAAATGGATACAACAGCACTATGTCATTCTGCTTCTCCTATAGTGTGGATCACAGTGGAGAGTGCAGGACCAGACCTGGCTTACAGAAATGTGAGTTTGTTTGCATATTTTTATTAATAATATCATTAATACTGCCATTTTTATAATGAGTCTGCACTGTATGTAGATGGATTTTCATGTTTATGTTTTGGTGAGTTTCTCTGTGTGTCATGTCAGACAACATCCAAAGGGGAAAAAAAAAACAAACATCACTAAAAACATTGATCAGTTCTTTTTTTTTTTAACAAACTGCTGGGTTTGGGCTTATACGTTTAGGATCATGGTGGCACAGGAGGTAGTGCTCTTGTTCGGCAGCTGGAGGGTTGCAGGTTTGAGTCCCGGTTCCTCCTGTCCCCATCAAAGTGTCTTTAAGCAAGACACTGAACCCCAAATTGCTCCCGGTGTGCAGGTTGGTGCCTTGCATGGCAGCTTCTACCACCAGTGTGTGGATGTATGGGTGAATGTGAGGCATGTATTGTAAAGTGCTTTAAGTGCTCATGGGAGTAGAAAAGTGCTATATAAATGCAGTCCATTTACATGACTGGTTTCTTAAATAAAAATAATATCTGGGTACAAACAAACTTTACGGCTGCTTGTGTTTGTGTGAGAATGTAACAGGGTGAAATACATTCTGATATGGCCGTGCGTCTTTAATTCCACAAGAAAAAAGCCTTGCGGGAGACATGATTATTGGGCGGGGGGGTTAGAACCCCCGTAATTTATGCCCACAATTAAGCTTGTTAATTTAGCGCGTGCAGCATTTCGGTGAGTTTTCCTGCCAGCTTCGCGCGGATGTCCCACATTTCCTGAGCTATTTCACATACTTGACTTCCTGCTTCATTAGGGGATCTTGTGCTGTTTTTATATTTTATGTATCGTACAGAATAATAGAGCGCAGGCTAAAGTGCAGTTCGGTCCCCAGCGAGTCTCTCAGCGCGGCGTCTCACAGCGCAGGGGGCAGCCGGAGCGCCGCGGCTACATGAGTATATTGGGAATAAAATGTGTGTATTGGAGCGAGTTCTGTGTTAGTGAGTGTGTGAGGTGTGACAGTGATAATGATGGAGATGCTGGGCTTCATGATGGGATTAATTGCTCTTCCTCTTGCCTACAGACTCCTGCCAGCTGACGCTGGACCCCAACACAGCAAACAGACGTCTGTCTCTGTCAGAGGGGAACAGGAAGGTGACATGGGGGGCAAAGCAGCCATATCCTGATCTTCCAGAGAGATTTGATTCCTGGCCCCAAGTTCTGTGCAGAGAGAGTCTGACTGGTCGCTGTTACTGGGAGGCTAAGTGGAGTGGAAATGGAGCCCTGATAGGAGTGACTTATAAAGGAATTGGGAGGAAAGGACGGAGTGCTGACTGTCAGTTTGGAGCCACTGACAAGTCATGGATGCTGCGCTGCTATCCTGACAGTTACTCTGTCCGGCACAATGATAAACAGACTGACATACCCATAAAGCCCTCAGATTCCCGCAGAGTAGGAGTGTATCTGGACTGGATGACTGGTACTCTGTCCTTCTACAGAGTCTCCTCTGATGTACTGACCATCCTGTACAGGTTCACCTCCTCATTCACTGAACCCCTCTGTCCAGGGTTTAGGGTTTATATAAACTCCTCAGTGTCCCTGTGCATGCTGGGATAGCTCACTGTGTGCTGGAGGAATCATTTTTACCTAATCAGAGTGTCACATGTCGCTGCTTCTCCGTGGCAAAAATGTAAAATCTCTGTCTGAAGTGTAACATATGTTAGACAAAATCAAGTGACTGGGTTTTGCAAGCGAACAAACATCTGAATAAAATATAATGAAATGTAATCCTGATTGGGGGGGCTTTCCCCGCCCCTATATATTTACATTCTTTATATTTCTGTCTGCAGTATATATTGTAAATTTGTATACCTGTATATTGGCAGTAAAGGCTTCCTATTAATGTCCTGCTCCAAACATTTTATTTAATATTTAACATAATTAAATAGCACTCCCTGGTAAATTAACTTAACTACTACAATTGATCGTAACACAATTACACTAATTAACATACTGCTTTGTGGGTACGCAGAATAAACCCTGCTTTAAGCTTTGTTAAGTACTTTCACTGAGCACCTCTGGAAACAGATGCACAACCCGCGCCACTTGTGTCCTGGGAGATATTCCACGAAAGTAGGTAACGCAATTCATCTTTAATTAATCAAGGCTCATACAAGACAGACTTGCATAGTCTCACTTAGTGTGCACACCCGCGATATTTAAGAAGCCCAAATGTATGGATGAAGGACAGATTGATCAAATGAGTCGGAAAGCCTGTAAAACGAAAGCGGGGTTTTTTTTTCTGCCGCAGAACAAACGCTGCTGATGGAGCTGTATGAAAAATACAAAGATGTAATTGTTAAAAAAGGCAATACTGTGGCCATAAATAAAGCCAGGGACTTGGCTTGGGAAATAATTCCAGACAGACTAAATGCATAAGTTATGTAAATGTTACATGTCTACTGCAGTGCTACAGTGGTTCAGTGGTTTATGCTGTTGCCTAACACTGCGAAAGTGCCTGGGTCGGTCCCCATAGCCAACGGGGAACCAGCTGGGTTGAGTTCACATGTCATTCTAACTGTATAATGTTATTCTGTATTATTTGATCTCTGTAAAATACTTTCAATCGCATCTGTGTGAAATACTGTACAAATACTGTAGCCGTATCTTGTCTTTGCTTTTTACTAATAAACTTTCAAAGTAGACTGTGACTAAACAAAATATAAAAATATCTTCCTGTTCATATTATTTTAACGGTTTTTTTTTTTCAGTTTCACTCATGGCATTTCATGTTTGACCTTTGTAATATGGGTACGCTTTTATTTTAATTATGTTGGAATTAATTGGAATACTAAGACATGATTTTTATAGGCTTCATTATATTCATGACATGACATAAGTAGTGAGAGTGCGGAATTTCGTTCAGCGGAACGATCTTTTGGGAATCTGTTCCCACACGTCGGACGTTCTTTGAGACAACGCATAACTAAGCCAGACAGTTAACCTGGTCCGGAGCAGACTTGTTCACTCGCCGAAGTTGCCATGGTAGGTCAGTGGGGATTCACTTATGACACGCTGATGGAACCAAACTCTCCCAGGGGTATTCCACGAAGCAGGATTAAGGGAAAGTCTGACTTATTTTGACAAGTATGGCTCATTTAAGTGGGAGTTCTGTACCCATATTACAAAGGTCAAACATGAAATGCAATGACTGAAATTGAAATAAATAAATAAATAAATAATAATAATAATAATAATATGACAGGGTTACATAAAAAACTCTGAATGCATTTAACAAAAATAATTAATAATAATCATAATTTGTGTGTATATATACACTCACCTAAAGGATTATTAGGAACACCATACTAATACGGTGTTTGACCCCCTTTCGCCTTCAAAACTGCCTTAATTCTACGTG